CCTGATCACGAACGTATACAAGCTGTCTTTCAGGTCTGATACAGTCGTGATGAGGGTGCGTTGCGTTCGTCGGAAGACGGTAAAGGCACGTCCACACTACCCCGAGCACAAGGTACCCTCATTAGGAATGTATAGTCCTGATCACGAATATGTACAAACCAATCTTTCCGGTTGCATACAGTCCTGATAAGGGTGCGTTGTGCTCGAGGGAGGAGAGGTCAAGGCACGACCACACTACCCGTCTCCCCGGAGCATAAGACAGCCTGATCACGAATATGTACAAGCTATTTTTGCGGTCCGGTACAGGCGAAGTGATGAGGGTGCATTGGAGTATTGTGGTCAAATTTTCATTCAGGGCGAAGTTCAACTTTCAGACCTGTTTATTGAAAAAACTCCTTTGGTTGCTTGTTGCATATTATTCCTTTGGGCCCGGCCGCAAAATTTCAGCGATTTCTAAACCGAAAAATCGTCAGGGCTAAAAAAAAAATAAAAAATCGTCAGGGCTTACGGGCTTCCCCCGTCAGTAGAAAAGGCAACCGATTTCGGTTAAAAGAGCTATAAATCCCAATATTGGCTAGGAACGTCGAAGTTAAATGTGCCCAAAGACGTTCCTAGCCGATATTGTGGCTAGGAACGTCGAAGTTAAATGCCCAAAGGAGTATGTAGTACTTGTAAGTGACAGTGTGAATATGCTCGCAGACAGCCAAGTGGAAGATGATTCCCACGGCACGGCATTGTATCACTATCCCATTGAAACGTGTCCCTGCAATCGTTAGGCTGAGCGCTTTCAGACGTGTTCTTGCTACAGGAATCACGCTTGTACTGCATTGTATAGGTATATTGTGTTAGGGGCGCGCGTGGGTGGTTTAGGCAGGAATGCACACAGAGAGAGAGAGAGAGAGAGAGAGAGAGAGAGAGAGAGAGAGAGAGAGAGAGAGAGAGAGAGAGAGAGAGAGAGAGATCAGAAAGGGGAAACCCGAGATCGCGTAAGGGAAGATGGTAATTTTGTCTACAGCAGTTTCTTTTTGCCTTGGTTGTCTCAGTCAAATCAGTTGAGGTTAAATCGAATCGAGTTCACACTGCTATCATGCCGGGTCGCTGAAGCGCAGCGCTATTCCAAGGTGGGTTCAGCAACCGACCGAAGAGGAAAGATTGGTTTGATTGCTCAATCGATCGACTAACGAATGTGGGCAGTGATTAGAGACCTTATCTCCCTCGCACGCACGGAAGAACTCCCGTTTGCACGGTAAAGCAGTCTACCTTCTTCCCCCCAATACAACGTACACGGTCATTATAGCTGTATTTAGACTGAAACATACCCCAAATACCGCTATCATGGCCGTGCGTTGTATTCGGGGGAAGAAGGTATCAAGCGCAAGGTAAAAGGCAGATCGAATCGAAGTCAGCAGCAGGGGGCAAAGAGTTTAGCAAACGCAAGGTAAAAGTCAGATCAAAACGAGAGCCAAATCCGAAGCTAAACCCAACCCTTCAGGACCCGTCCCTAACCTTAAACCCCCTGTACTTGGGCACTGCAATAGGCCACGGAAAAAAAATAGAGTAGAATCGTTTCTAGTCCGATGAATCTGGGCGCTTTTGTAGTGGCCCGTACGTTTCCTAAAGTCATGGCTTGTTTACGGGCACGACTTTAGGAAGTATATACTGGTGGTATAATAAGTAAAGACGCTCGGTAACTACCTTCCTCCAAATAGAAAGCACCTGGGCATCAAAAAAGAGAAAAAGAAGAAATTTATGGGCATATGACGCCGTTGAACGCAGCTTTTGCGTTAGACACAGGTATAATGCACGCGTGTTCTCTGGGACAAGCCGAAGCCCTAGGTAGTTTCTCTGGGACAAGCCGAAGCCCTAGGTAGTTTCTCTGGGACGTCAGTCACCTGCAGTGCAAGAGCAGCAGTAGCTGCTCTGCTCCTTGAACGACCATCTAAAGAAGCCTCTAGGGGCTTTTGCACTCCTTGTGGTATTTCAGGAGGTTTTGAATTACTCCATGGGCCTGGGTGTTGGGATAGGGGCGCCATCGAGAGCCAGCATGGACGTGAACTGCTGGAGGTCACAACGTTGTGGGAAAAGGGCCTTCCGGCGAGATCGTGCTTGCCCGGAGACAGCAAACCGCTCTGTGTGTGTGTGTGTGTGTGTGTGTGTGTGTGTG